TAGCAACATGTTGCCACCAAAAGAAAAACAGTTCAAATATAATTAACACAAGAGTGTAATAGTTAGGGCCTTGTTACATTAGCATGACTCTCATGCTTATATCATCCTTATCATACTATAAAAACCTAACTTAGATCTCATTTCATAATAAAATAGCATATCATTTACTAAACAGAGTGCACTGATGAGTATTTGTTGTTCATCATTGGCATTTGGTAGTGATGGAGCAGTGCTTGCTGCTGCTCTCCACAGAAAAGTGACTATTGCTGCAGTAAACAGGAATATGCATGAATCACTGCAATGGGTCCTTAGATCTTTGAGTATGAGACCCATTAAAGGAAGCATTTCACTTAGTGGACTCACTATGTTTAATCATTCGAATACATTGAACACTGACTTCAGTAGTGGTTGAAGTACTTTCTTATATTTCCACCAACAAAATTAAATAGTTTCTTTTCCCCTGCAATCTCATGAGTGTTCTTTTGGTCTTGCAGTGATTTGTCTCTGCAATGAGATGGTGTACTGATCTGCATTTCTCTATTGTGCATAAATGCTCAATAGTTCTTCAGGTATTTCTTGACAATTTGTACCTGTTCTGAAAAGTGTGTATTCATTTCACATTTCTATTGGATTTACATGTTAGCTGTCAGGGAGTAACATGCAATCTTCTCCTATCCTGTAGATGGTTTCTTCATCCTTTTTCATTTGACGATTTTTTGGTTTGTTTCTTTTTTTGGCTTCTTCATTTGTGCATGAGTATTAAATTATTATATAATCATTTTTCATGTTTTGTTGCCCTATCTTATTTCCTATAAAAAGCACCAGCAGTAGCATTGAGTAAAAAAGTTTTGATAATGCCTCTACTTTCAGAACCTAGAATGCCTCCCTCATTCATGTTTCACTATGTTTTACTCTAATACAGGCATATTTAAGACTGTTGCACAAATTACCATGAAACACACATTTCCTGGGCCAAAAAAAGAAATCATGATTTTCATGATTCAGCTATCCTATCCTACATTTATATTCTTGACCTAAACTTACCTGTTTCCTTAAACTTCAAATGCAGGTATAAAAATGACTACCACACATTCTGATAAATCATCTAGCAAAATTGCCTCACAAAGTGAGCTTCAAAGCCATGATTGTTCCATCTCATCCTCTGCTGATGCTGGGACTAAAGGAATCACACTTAGCCTAAGGCTTTATACGTAAGTCCTTACCAGTGCAATTATTTAAATAAAAGATAATTAAAAATTGCATATATTTGTTAGTTTTTCTAAAATAACAACAAATATAAAAGTGACTATTGTAATTGTTAGGGCCGCCGCCGCAGGGAAAGAGACCCCAAGGACTCAACTCTTGGTGAGGGAAAGAAGTTTATTTCCATGCGCATGGGGTCCTCCAGGCAAACGAGTGCGGAGGGCCCCGAGGGGAATTTGTGCAGGGTTTTTAAGGGCACAAGCGGGAAGCAAGCACGTTTACAGAAGCAGATCGCATTGGTTAATTTTGAACGGCGCAGGACTTTGGCTAATGCTGATTCAAGGGGTCTGGGGCTGAGTAACCATGGAGACTGAGGGTCCTGGTCTGATCTCAGAGTGCCAGGTATAACTCGGTCTCGTTTGAACAGCACATTCCTTTACTTATCTTTTCCTTTACAGAGGACAGAACATCTTGTGGTTAATGACTAGCAAATGCATTCCTTCCTGGCCTGCTCCAATATCTCTAGGAGGAATTAGGGAGTGAGACATTCCTTACAGCTCTGTTCTATAGCTCGGGGGGGTTACATCACAAACGGGGAGTCGATTCTCTCATTCCCCCCCTTTTTTTTTGCAAATGACTTTTAATCTTAAAGGTCCTGTATGGGTAAGGGATCATATTGTTGACGTAGCACCATAACTTTTACTTGAGAAATCTGGGCCCTCACAAACCAGGTTACTCGGTTAATGAGGCAAGGGGCTATAGCCATGACTATAATGAATCCGGCCAGAGGTCCCAATAAAGGGAGAATATAGGGCAGGATTGATTCCCAGAAAGAGAACACTTTGGCTTCACTTGAAGGGGGCTCTCAAGATCTGATTCTCTCTCTCAACTTTTCCATTGCATCTTTTACAATCCCAGTAGGATCAGTGTAAAAACAACATTCTTCTCTAAGTGCGGCGCAGAGACCCCCTTCTTTTAAAAACAAAAGATCTAAGCCTCTTCTGTTTTGTAACACTACTTCAGATAGAGACGAGAGAGATTGTTGTAATGCAGTTATAGATGTCTCTAGGGCCTGTGGATCCTGGTTCACAACTGCAAGAAGCTGCTGGCGGGACTGGTGCCCAGTAATGAGGGCTGCTGTACCAGTTCCTATCCCCCCTGCCACACCTATCTCTAATAAGACTGCCAGGGTCAGGGAGACAGGTTCCCGTTTATATCGACCTTTCATGAGGGGGAGCATGTCAGGAGGGAGATACTTAATGCGTGGCATAAGGTCTATGAGGGTGCAGGAGCTGTCCCCTGCAAGGAGTACATTTGTGGAAACACAAGGGGTGAGCCCCGTAGTACATAACCAGAATGCCCCGGTGGGAAGGATGAGGTACTGGTTTCTGGGGAAGGAGTGGGTATGTGTGAGGCAGCGATGGCGTAGGTCTGCAGGCCAATTATCAAGTGTCCCTATACAGGTTCCTCGGCTAGCGAGGCCAGGTAAAGGAAGGGTGTGGGACACGTGATCCCAATCGCACTGGTCAGAATTGGGGGTCAGCGTATAGGAATCATTTAGAGCAGTCCCCTCATAATATGGAGGGTTAGCACTTAGACATAACCAACAAGCTTGGGCTAGGTCTGGATGGGTAAGATTAAGGGCTTTATGAGCCCCAAGTATAAGGCTAAGAAGAGAGCTCACGGTTGGAGGGACGAGTCCCGACTCAGGAGAATTAGTTAAATCCCCGGAGGGGGTGCGGGGTGAGGTCATGTGTTCTCGATTTTGGGTAGCCTTGGGCCCCGGGGATAAAAGTCTTTTAGCAGTTGTTGGGGCCAGTGGTGGCGGGGACGGCCTTGTTTCTGGTTTTAATTCCTTTTTGATAAACAAATATCCCCCTGAGTCTTTTCCACTTTGATAATATCTAAACCCCCAAGTTTTTCCTGTGATCCATGAAGGCTCTTGGGGGGTGAGGACCGTGAGTTATAGGTATAGGCAGGGTCCAGGTCCCTGGCTCAACTCGGCATCCCAAGCCCCACCATAACAAGTGGGGGGCTTTGGGCGAGCTCCAGTCAACCTTGAAAGACTAATGTGTTGGTCCCTTATGGTGGGTGTCCACGCAGTGGCCACCGTCTCACATCCCCAGTAAGCACAGTAATACTCTCCTGGGGAGTTACAATAGGTTCTCCCCCCCACTGAAGTTGGGCATAGGTAAACAACCTGAGATGGATCCATACAGGGGGCTTGAGGGACAATATCGCAGGAAAAGAAGGCAAAAGTGGGATTACCTGATCCTTCCCACTTGCCGACCACCTCTTGGTTGTCCCACTTAATCAATGACCAGATCCAAGGGCGGTGGGGGTTAGCTATTGTAGGGGTGACTAACACTAACATGAGTAATTTCATTATAGCCCAGGGGGTTACAATCTGGGGTCTTTGCTGGGTCATTTTGTAACAATACACAAGGGGAGTGTACAGAAACAGCATCAAGGAGTCTTTCGGCTCAGTTTAAGTTTTAAGGGGTTATCAGACCGTTTGAGTTCCCAGGAGTCGTCCTCTGGCGCTGAAGCAGGCTTTAGGTGTGACGCGTGGATCCAAGAGGCGATTCCGTCAACCTTTACCGCTGTAGGAGTAGTCAATAGGACCTGGTATGGTCCTTTCCAGTGAGGCTGCAGAGTCTCTTGTTGGTGGCACCGGATGAACACAAAGTCTCCCACCTGGTACGGATGTGGCGCGGGGAACTCACTGGGGGCGTAGGCCAAGGCTAGCTGCGTCCACACGTCCCTCTGTAGATTGTCGAGGGCGATGAGCCTGTCAGACAGGGAGGTTGGCAACAAGGCAGCATGTTCAGTTAAGGGAGTGAGATCTCGAATGGGGGGTGGAGTGCCAAAGAGGATCTCGAAGGGAGTAAGGTTAGGGGGTTTGGCTGACGGGGTGTTTTGCGCGCGAAAAAGGGCATAAGGCAGGAGCATCGTCCAATCTTTTAAGCCAGTCTCATGAGCCAATTTAGTGAGGGTCTCCTTAATAGTTCTATTCATTCTTTCTACCTGTCCTGAACTTTGGGGTCTATAAGCACAATGTAACTTCCAATCAATCCCCAATATGTTGGCCAGTCCCTGACTTACCTTAGCCACAAACGCCGGCCCATTGTCAGACCCTATTACCTTTGGCAATCCGAACCAAGGAAAAATTTCTTCCATCAACTTTTTCGTTACCATGGCAGCAGTTTCCTTTTTGGTAGGAAAAGCCTCAGTCCATCCAGAAAAGGTGTCCACAAAAACTAGCAGATATTTTAGTCCACATCGGGCAGGTTTAACTTCTGTAAAGTCTACTTCCCAGTATTGTCCAGGTCTGGTGCCGCGTAGCCTTTTGCCGGGGGCCAGCTTGGCAGGGTAGGCATTGGTCAATTGACATGCCTCACAATTAGTCACAACCCACATGGCGACCTGGCGTATGGCAGTGGGGGATGCCCCCGGGAAGTCTTGGTGTTGGGCCAGTAGGCACAGCTTTTTAACTCCCAAATGGGTGAGCCGATGGGCCTGTCGTATGTAAGTAGTCAGGTCAGATGCCTCAGGGGTTTGGTTAATCTGAGCTTTCTCTTTGGGAGGAGAATCTTTGATATCAGTCACCAACATCTGTGAGACTCCCATGGCTGCAGATTTTGCTGCCTGATCGGCCAGGTTGTTTCCCTTCGTGACAGGATCAGTCCCTTTTTGGTGGCTATTACAGTGTATTATCGCCACCTTCTGAGGTAACATAACTGCAGCTAGCAATTGAAGGATTTCCTGTTTGTGTTTTATTTCTTTGCCTGCGGAGGTCAGAAGTCCCGTTGGCGGTATATGGCCCCATGGATGTGGGCCGTTGCAAAAGCATATCGGCTATCCGTGTAAATGTTTGCCCGCTTTCCTTTGGCGAGCTCCAGAGCCTTAGTCAAAGCGATCAGTTCGGCCTTTTGGGCCAAGGACCCGTCCTCTAGTCTGGCTGTCCAGATAACATTGGAATGATCAGTCACAGCTGCCCCCGCATACCGCTTACCTTGAATCAAAAAGCTACTTCCGTCAGTGAAGTAGGTCACCTCTGCATCGGGTAGGGGGTAATCCAATAATTCCGGTCGTACTTCGGCCTCTTCTGCCAAGATGTCCTGGCAGGTATGGAGGATGGGTTCCGGAGCTTCTTCCGGCAGCAGGGTCGCCGGGTTGAGAGTCACCGGGGGTCCAAAAGTTATCTTGTCCTTGTTGAGCAAGAGACTCTGATAATGAGTAACTCTGACATTTGAGAGCCACCTGTCTGGAGGTTGGCAGATGATGCTTTCTAGTGTATGCGGGGCAATGATTGTTATTTTTTGTCCCAAAGTCAATTTATCAGCATCCTTGATGAGCAAGGCAGCCGCTGCGATGGCCTTTAAGCAGGGCAGCCACCCGCTCGCCACAGTGTCCAGTCTTTTCGAGAGGTAGGCCACCGGACGCCTCCATGGCCCAAAGGCCTGGGTTAGTACTCCTCTCGCTATTCCTTTCTTCTCTTCAATGAAGAGAGTAAAGGGTTTATCCACATTAGGAAGGGCCAGGGCCGGAGCGGATAGGAGGGCCCGCTTGATGGCATCAAAGGCCTGCTGGTGGTCTTTTTCCCAAACAAAGGGAGATCCCCCCTTCAGTAACGGGTATAGGGGAGCTGCCAAGGTTGCGAACCCAGGGATCCACAACCGGCAAAACCCCGTGGTACCCAGGAATTCTCGTAATTGTTTTTGGCTCTTTGGAGGGGGAATCTGGACCACAGTCTGTTTTCTAGCCTCAGTGAGCCATCTTTTCCCCCCTTTTAAGGAGTAGCCCAGGAAAATTACCTCTCGTTTACAAATTTGAGCCTTTTTTGCCGATGCCCTATATCCCAGGATAGCCAACTCACGTAAAAGGTCCTGAGTTCCACTGGTGCAGTCACCCTCAGAGTCCGCGGCCAGCAGCAAGTCATCTACATATTGAAGGAGGTTGAGGTTTGGGTGTTGAGCCCGAAAGGGGGCTAAATCCTTGTGTAGAGCCTCATCAAAGATGGTCGGGCTATTTTTGAAGCCCTGTGGGAGGCGCGTCCAGGTCAATTGTCTGGTGGACCCAGTCTCGGGGTCCGTCCATTCAAACGCAAACAAGGGCTGGCTATCTTTGTGCAAAGGCAAACAGAAAAAGGCATCCTTTAAATCCAGAACAGTGTACCAAGTCCTTGACGGATTTAAACCGCTGAGGAGATTATAAGGATTGGGTACGGTGGTGTGAATGTCCTCCACCCTGCTGTTGACCTCCCTCAAGTCCTCTACCGGTCTGTAGTCATTTGCCCCGGGCTTTTTGACCGGGAGCAGCAGAGTATTCCATGCAGACCAACAAGGAGTCAATACCCCTTGGTCTAAAAGTCTCTGTATGTGTACCTTGATCCCTAGGTGAGCTTCTCTATTAATGGGATATTGTTTAACTCGAATAGGGGAGGCAGTGGCTTTTAGAGTGACCACTACAGGCGGTTGCTGGATTGCCAGCCCGAGCCCAGCTGTCTCGGCCCAGGAGTCTTTAAAATCAGTTAGCCAGGCAGGGGTGATGGGCTGGGGGTCTCGGTGGTCATAGAGCCTATACTCATCTTCCAATTTTAGAGATAACACTGTAACCATGGGTTGCCCAACCTTTGGGTTACGGAATGTCACCTGAGGTCCTTGGGGCTCAAAGGAGATTTTTGCCCCCAGTTTGGTTAATAAGTCTCGTCCCAGGAGGGGAGCAGGGCATTCAGGAATAACCAGGAAGGAGTGTTTTACTTTTCCTTTGCCTAGGTCAACTGTGCGCTTGGTGGTCCACGAGCGATATTTGCTCCCGTTAGCCCCTTGAACTAGAGATTTCTTAGTTGAAAGGGCCCCTAAGGGGGCCTGAAGAGCCGAGTAAACAGCTCCCGTATCGACCTCGAATTCTATGGGAGTCCCCTCCACTTTAAACATTACCCTGAGCTCGGGGAGGGGGTCCGAGCCCCGAAGTCCCTAGTCCTCTTCATCTAAGGTGAGCATGGGGGCTCAGGGCCGCTGCGAGGACTGTTTTTCTCGTTCCTTTCTGGCTCGTTTCTCAATTTCTCACAGTCTTTGATCAGGTGTCCTTTTTCCTTACAATATGCACATTGGTCAGGGTCTAATGGGGGGGGCGAGTGGGCTTTCCCTTTCCTGTCTCAGGTTTTCCCTGAATAACTGTGGCCAACATTTTAGCTAATTCCTTGTTTCGTCTCTTGTCTCTAGCTAACTCTTTTTCCTCTTCTGTCTCCCGTTTATAGTAGACTTTTTCAGCTTCCTTAACAAGATCCCTCAGAGTTAGGTCTTGCAGACCATCTAGCCTTTGGAGCTTAGGTCTTATATCAGGAGCCGATTGCCCTATGAAGGTCATGGCTATTGAGCCCTGTCGGCCTTCTTCTTCAGGGTTAAAAGGCGTGTACTGCCGGTAAGCTTCCATCAGGCGTTCCAGAAAAACTGAGGGAGTCTCAGTAGGCCCTTGGGTAACTTCCCTTACCTTGGCCAAATTAGTGGGGCACCTTGCGGCCGCCTGGAGACCTACCATTAGAGTCTGGCGATAGATAGAAAGATGCTGCCTACTGGTAGGTGAGTTGGGGTCCCAGTTGGGGCGTTTTAAGGGAAAGAAATCATCAATCAGTTCTGGTCTCTGGGTGGGTCTGCCATTTTCTCCGGGAACAGCTTTCCGGGCTTCCAGAAGGATGCGGTCTCTCTCCTCGGTGGTGAACAGGACCCCTAGAAGCTGCTGGCAGTCATCCCATGTGGGTTGGTGGGAGAACATGATAGAATCCATTAAACCTGTTAACTTAGACGGATCATCAGAGAAAGGAGGGTTATTGTTTTTCCAGTTATAGAGATCTGAGGTAGAAAAAGGCCAGTACTGTAAAGCGGGCATCTGCCCTCCATCTGACCCGTCATCTATCATGGGCCCGTAGGGGCGAAGAGGGAGGGTAACGACTGGGTCCTCAGGCCGTAGCTTACTCCGAGTGTTCTGGGCTGTGCCCGTGGGCCCCGGAGGTGTAGACCCAGAGCAAGCCATCGTAGGGAGCGGGGGATACAGAGGGGACGTGGGTATCGGAGGAGAAGAGGGGTTCGGTTCAGGTGAAAAGGGTGCTGAAGGAGAAGGAGTGCTCGATCCGGACGAGGAGGCTGGAGGAGAGAGTGGGTACGGAGGAGGTTGAGTCAGCTGGGAGGGAGGAGGCTGGTCATAGTCGAGCAAAGGTAGATCAGGCTGAGACTCGGGCAGGACCGGAGCCGGAGCGGAAGCGGGAGGTCCTTTCAGAGCTAAGAGTTTTGGTATAGAGGAGTCAGAAGGGGGAAGAAAGGGTTTCACCCACGGTGGGGGTTCCTCCCTGAGGTCCTGCCATACCAAGGTGTAAGCGACCTGATCAGGGTGGCCCCTTTGTCCGGGGCTGAAGATGATGTTCATAACCGCTAGGATGAGGGGCAGGTGGAAAGTCCCCTCCGGCGGCCATCCCACTGAAAAAGTGGGCCACTCAGTTGAGCAGAAATTCTGCCATTTACTCTTCTTGACCTGCAAGGAGAGATTGTGAGCCCTCTTCCGCACCTCCGACCAATGGTCGAGTGTGAGGGACAATGGGGATGAGGTCGACTGTCCCATGATGTTCTATAGTCACAGGGCGGTTAACGCAAGCGCAATACAACAAATAACTAATCACAACACCCACGACACACAGGACAAACAGGCCGGCCACCTCACTCTCACGCATCAGTTTCACTCCAAACGAGCCACCTTGCAGGGTGTCTCCAGATTGGCCCGGATGAGTCACCTCAGAGGGTGTCTCCGAATTGGCCTGGATGGACCACAGATTGGGAATAAAATTCCCCAGACTGATAGGAAAATCCTATCGCAGACGGTGAGTCACGGAAAACCGTGTGGGGCGTCCCCCAGTCACCAGAGAACAGAGAACAGATAACAAAAACAGGTAACAAAAATTGCCCCTAGATCGGAGCCGTTTGGCTCGGGGCGTAAAATACCAGTAGATTGATCCTCAGAGTAAAAATAAGAAGCGACCGGTCGTACTCACCCACCGCAGAGCCGTTGAGGTCACCTCCCGTGAGGCGTGCTATCTCGCTGGGGCCTCCAGAATGTTAGGGCCGCTGCCGCAGGGAAAGAGACCCCAAGGACTCAACTCTTGGTGAGGGAAAGAAGTTTATTTCCATGCGCATGGGGTCCTCCAGGCAAACGAGTGCGGAGGGCCCCGAGGGGAATTTGTGCAGGGTTTTTAAGGGCACAAGCGGGAAACAAGCACGTTTACAGAAGCAGATCGCATTGGTTAATTTTGAACGGCGCAGGACTTTGGCAGATGCTGATTCAAGGGGTCTGGGGCTGAGTAACCATGGAGACTGAGGGTCCTGGTCTGATCTCAGAGTGCCAGGTATAACTCGGTCTCGTTTGAACAGCACATTCCTTTACTTATCTTTTCCTTTACAGAGGACAGAACATCTTGTGGATAATGACTAGCAAATGCATTCCTTCCTGTCCTGCTCCGATATCTCAAGGAGGAATTAGGGAGTGAGACATTCCTTACAGCTCTGTTCTATAGCTCGGGGGGGTTACATCACAAACGGGGAGTCGATTCTCTCATAATGTGTTCAATACAAGAATCAACTGGTTAAAATCACAACTGCCCCGGTGACGCTCACTATAGTCAGTGCATAAACAAATGTGCTTCCCAAGTAATGTTAGGGGGATAACTGCTGAGTGGCCAAGTGATAAAAGTATGATCCAAAAAAATTCATACATGTATTTCTCAAAGGAAGATTGAGACTCATGGCCTGGGATATCTTAAATTCTCTCATAAAAATCTGAATCAAAAGCAGTGTTGGTGTATATTTATAATCCCAAGATTCAAGAAGCTGAGAGAGGAGGGCTGTTGTGAAGTCAAGGAAATTGTAGGCACCATACAGGTTTCAAATCCAGTGATACACATAGTGAAACCCTGTCTCAATAAAACAAAACTGAACTAAACAAAGTAGAACCAAACATCACAGCTGAATGGAGACTGAATCCTTCAAAGTTTAATTCCATGTCTTGGTGATTAATTTTATGTATAAACACATTTTTTGAAAAAGCAATTTGGATGCTAGATTGCAACTCACAGCCAAATGGGAGCACTGATTTTTGTGCTGAGTCACTGCAAGGGTCCCGGTGTCCCCACTGTCTCTCAAGCAGAGCTCACAGTGGGATCCTACAGGACCAGCATCCACAAAGCAAAGGGGTAGGCAAATATCTTGTGAATCACTTTGATAGACTGCAAATGATATCTCTTCAAATCTCATTTATGTCACTGAGTCCTTTGTTCTTAATATACTTAAGCAGCATTTTGAAATTTGAATTTAGATTCATATAACAAAACATAATTAACATCAAATATGGTACATAAATAATAACAAATGATAATGGAAAACTGTGTAGGTAAACGATGTATAAACAATGAAACAAGGCACAAGTTGCAAATTATAGCTCAGTGTCACGAAGTGATCCTCTTTCACTCAGAAATAAGAAATATATCTTGGGAGGCTGATGCAAGAGAACTGCCTTGAGTTAGAAGCCCACCTCAGTTACAGAGCTGTCTGAAATAGAGAGAAAAACCTTGACTGAAAAACCCCACAAAAAATGAAACTTGAAAATTGACTGCATAAAACACCATTGGTTTGTTGTAAAACTTATATCCATACAATATAGTAACATTCCAAGAACTTTCAAGACATTCTGAGGAAGAATGTTGATAATTTCCATAATATACTAAAAACAAATTCATGTTTATGTATTTGTCTCAGTGGCATAAACACTTGTCTGGCAAACATGAGCTAATGAGTTCAATCCTTGGTACAAAAAAAAAAAGATTCAAATTCCTGCATCATGACACTGCCACATAATTAGAGAAAATCAAAATTAGATCTCAAGTTTGGAACCCATAATTCATGGGTTAACAGGTAAGTGGAATACTGAATATTGACAAAGTTGGTGGTATTCATCTCAAGTAAGAAATCAGAAGCCAAATTTAACTTCATGCTTACCCTAAGAACTACTCGATTTTCAGTGAAGATCTTCTCACTTGTAAATCCTGCTATTGGCACCTTGTATCATGCCAATCACTTGCACAATCTTTCCATTCTCTTCTGATCCACACTACACAGAAAATCCTTCATTCCTAACTATGGATATCCCTGCAGCACATCTTCTATTTAGGGATTCTATTTTACTCCACTTAGTAAAGTCCATTGCAGAGAATTTCTATAGATAAACAATGTATATTATCAGCCAACCTGTTAAATCAGCAGTTAATTCATAGATGACATGCCTATTCCTTTCCATTCAGAAGGATACCATGTGTATGGGTCCATGCAAATGCATAAATTTTGGCATTTTTCAATGAGGGTTTAACAGACAGGTGATTCTGGAATTTGTCTTTAGCAAGCACACTTTACCCTACCCTTGATAACACTTTCATATATGCTTCATTTTTCTCAGAATTCAAAAATCCATGGATGTTCTCACAAACAGTCTGTGAGCAGAGGTGTCACCTAAATAATTATGTTCAAAATTCTTTTGTATTATCCTGTATGATATACAGGAGTTCACCAGGTTTTGAGAAGCCTTCGTCCACTGAGGCACATCACTACACATCTTCAAATACTCAGTACCTTTGCCAACACGTGTCATGAGGATGGAAATAAAAGAACATACTATAAATTTAGGAGATCAATCTAAATACAAAAAAAAGCACAAGTTTAAGGATAGCAGTTGTGGCTATAAGGCCCTGTATCACAGACATTTATAAACATCAGACCCTCCAGGTCTGCTTCTCACAGCAATGAGAGCAGAGACCTTCCTCAGTACTTTTGCAGCAGCTACAAAATGCATCAGAGTCAGGGTGTCCCCAAGCTCCTTCCCTCATTGAGCTTGTGGAGATGCCAGGGCAGCAGAGAATTTCAAAGATGATACTGGAATCTGCTACTGTCAAAGAGAAGATAGAGTCACTCTTGCCACGAGAAAGAGGCAAAATGCAGAATGAATGACCCACAGCCAATGCTGGAGGACCTCAGGAGATGAAGCTAACTAAATACCTGAGGATCAAGACACCGGAACTGCTTCTAACCACTTGTAACTGGTTTAGCCCATTTGCTCCCTATTTCTGGGCTCCCATCCAGAACCTCAGCATTCTGTGGCTTGGAGATCTCCCAGGTTCTTTCCTAACCAGGCCACATGACATTGAAACCACTAAATGAGATCCAGCAAACATTCTGCTCCAGTACTGTGCTCACAACAGGTCAATAATGCCCAGATAGGAAGACCTAAGAGACCGCCTGCTGTGGCCCACCTGCTTGGACAGTTCATATAGCCCCCCTCTTCATCACTGATTCAGTATTTCTCTACTGCTCTCCTTCTGAGTCATGAATAAACAGGGAAAGGAACCCCTCCCTGCAAGGGTGGATCCCAAATGATAGACTGTAGTGTAGACTTCTTTACCTGAATGTCTTCTACAGTGTGGATATCCACAGAGGAGTGCTTGTACCAAAGAGATTTACCTTAGGCTTTTTATTTCCAATTCCATTTGACTTCAAGGATAAAAATATACTAAAACTAAATTTCAAAACATGTTAATCAGGGGACAACAATGGTAAATACTTTGCACACTGCCATCCCCAGATTATTAACCTAGAGCACAAGACATTTGTATTCAATTTTCCAAACAATACTATAATGGGCAGCTGAGTTAGTCTAATAATGTTGGCAGTGAGACAGGGCTAGGTTCTCCAAGGATCCCATGCAGAAGCCCAGATACCTTCAACTATAGGGAAGGCAGACACTTCCTGCTAAGCGTCAGACTTCAGGACAAAAGATTAAGCAAATGTATTCATATTGTAAGGATTGATATTTGAAATGGTTCTCTAGCACTCTGAGGAAGTCAGCAGTTACCATTCCACTAAAGCCTGATACTCCAAATAATTTCTATCATCCTGGTGAAGTCATGAGTCACCTTCTGAACCCATTAATTGAAAAGTCACTATTGCATAAAAATTCCTACTTTCTGTGTAACAGGCTTCCCCATTTGATCCCAATTTAAACACTTTTACCTGAACTATTAATTTTAATGGCTCCATATTTCTGTCCCATCTTATGCATATCTGCCTTGTGAGCTCCCAGTATTCCCACCTTAAATCCATCTCACAAAATGATTTTACTCTATAGAAGTCCCTAGAAAAGGCAGGCTCTGGCAACCCACTCAGGACCCCTTCTCTCTCTCAGACAGCTTTCTTTCTCCCAATAAATATATTCTACTCTTAAATTCTGTTGTTCCTAAAATTTGTGCTTTAATTTTAGACAGCACAAACTCATACCAGACATAGTAGATCAGGAGTTTCTTTCCCCTGTAGCAACACCATTATAAATTTTTCTCT